AAGGTATCATGCATCGACAGGCCCGAAGGATAAAATTACTAGAGCTCAGGATTATGGGAGCGGTAAATTTTCAACGATGACTTGTACAAACGCACTCGGCCTTGGTCAAGACTGGTCCATCGTGGATCAAGTAATAATTCTGGGTGGCATGGACCCAGATGCAATCATTCAAATGGGTGGAAGGGGAGGGCGAGGTGGTAAGAGATGCTTAGCCATTATGTTGGTTGAACCTTTTCGTCAGACTGGGAAGAATTTGATCGAAGATTTTGAAAACATCTCAGTCATGAATGATGATGACAGGACGAGTGCTTTGAGAATCACACCGGTATGCCTTAGGGTTGCACTCTCATCTGACACTCGGTGAGCTTTTCTCCTTGTTGCTTTTATGATTTTATCTTCTTACTAATATCTTGACTTCTAAATTTGATTTTGTACAGCCTCGGAATCCTACCTCTTTCGGTCAATGAGCCAGCATACATCAAAGAAAAGGCCCGTCAAGATAAGCTGAATATGGGCCTTTGTCGTTGCTCTAATTGTGATCCGATTGGCGCGTTCGAGCTTATTCATGATCTCAAGATCACCAACAAGTACCAATTTCATCAGCTCTTGGATCGTGCCACTGTTGGTCATGATTTACCAGCAGCTAGTTTTCTCACTCAAATTCCAATTGTGAAATTGAAGCCGAAGGAAAGGACTAATCGACCTTTACTATGTCCCGATACTGATCGCATCCGCACTTCCAGGCCCATGATGGTGCTGGAACGCTAGCTGATCGATCGTTTTGAAACTTTATTCTACACTCGTCACAATCGAAAATCCGACTTGGTCCCCTCAAATCTTTTCGATAACGATAATGCTTGGCAAATTGTCAAGAACTATTTGGGTATACTTGAGGGTAAGTATCTGAGGGGGATTTTGGGTAGCCAGCCCATTTGTGGGACGTTTGACATGATAATCAATTGTATCAAGAATTGGATTCAAGGTCCTAGTTATGAATCGTACCTTGAAGAAGTTCGCCAGGCTGAACAAGCTGCAAAGGAGGCTTATGAGATGGGTGCAGCTATACTGGCATCCTACCACAGTGCCCAGTTGATCAAAGCCAAAAAACGAAAATCCAAGAAGGAGAAGATCGAGCAGCGAAAAAAGATTAGATTGGAAAAAGCAGCCGAAGTGAAAAATTTGAAGGAGAAGGAGAAACACGAGAAAATGAAAACTCTTCAAGGAAGTTCGATCATGTCTCAAGTTGAAACTCAAAAAAGTATGTGAACATTATATTTATTCATTCCTTTCTACTCGACAAATTCTTCATGTGTTCAAGGTTGATCATCTTTAACTCTTCGAAATTCAGCTCCCAATATGCCTGCTGCTCCCGAGTTGAATCGACAGGGAGTCGCATTCCAATCTTCCTCTCGAAATATGGATTGAAATTTTTTGATACCTTTCAAGTAGATGTCATCTAGATTGGCGATCAAGCCTTTCTGTCTTGGAGTTTTGATCATGCTTGGATCAGCAAGATGATCACGAGCAAACTTCAAGAATTGACTCAGCGACGCTGGCAAAAGGGGGTGTTTGTGACTTTGGTGTATTGTTTCAAAGCCTGACCGAAGACCTAGGGAGTGAATAAGGCTTCGTAACTGCTTTGTATGTTAGCCTATGTTCTGATTTTGTTTGCAACAATCAAAAAGTAATCATCTTACCAAGGGAATGTTTATTGAAAAACGTTCCGTGAGCCGTTCAATATTAGTCCCTTGTCCCTAATGGAAGAGAATGTGGATGATCGTAAATAAGGTTGGGCTCTGAAACCAAAGAGGCTACATACAGAATTGTTATAAAAGTATTTGAGCCAATAGTTTTGGACTTCCAAAAAGAAATCCTTGGCCACCCAGTGACCTTCACGTCCAGACGAAGGTATCAACAGACTGTGCTTAATGACCTTTGCTAATTTCTTGGGGAGATATTCTTCCAGGATCAGAATATACCGAGGAAGGTGGAGCGCGTAATGTGATAGGCCATTGATTCCTTGAGCAAGAATACTCCATCGTTTCCACATTGACATCAAACGACCAATATCCCCCGCACGCATTGCATGATCTGCTTCAACCACTGTGGCAAGGTCACGCAACCTCAAGCGTAGATTGTATAAAGCTCCATCTTCTGCTGTGGAAGCTTCTCTAACTGATTCACCCGAGCAGTACTTGTCATAACATTCATCTACCAAGGCTTGTGCAACTCCTGGCACAGTAAAATCAAGCTTAGAATCTTTTGAAGATATGATTTGTCTGAAATAAAGGTGCAGTCAAATACTGTGAATAAAAAAAACTCTATCACCAAGTGGGAAACCACTTACTTGAGCAGGAAGACATATGTCGCCGTTTGTACTTTGTGAACAGTTTGCATCAACAGGCCAACATCCGATTTATCAACTAGATGTTCCGGCTTTATACTTGAAGAAGCAGCACATCGAAATATACCCGGATCTGCTGAGTCTTCAATATCACCAAAGTAAGTATTGACAATGGCACTAGCAATGTTCCACATTGTGTGAGCACCAGCGAGTCCAAATGAGAGATTCTGAAGTCCTTCTTCAGCGTGTCCTGAAGGGTACCGCTTTCTAACTGCTCCTTCAAAGTTTAAGTTTGTCCCCATGTCACCTTCAACAACTTGAAACCATTTGCCAAATTGAAAGCTTTCAACACCAAGCTGCTCCAGGATTTGTTCTATCAATTGGCCAATTCCAGTTGCTGAATTGTCTGAGGCACTCATCATCTTCAACATCGTGATATTTGGAGTGTACATCTTGATTGGATCAACCGCAGGTGGAGCCACCTCTAAATTAACTTTACAATAAGAATGTTCAGCACTACCCTTTTCAACACAGTGATCCAGAAAAGCCGTCGAAATCTGTGCCTTCCTCACCAGCTCGAAATGAATTTCCTCTTGTTTTGTAGGTATCATAGAATCAACTTCAACAACTTCCTTCTTACTACGCTCCATTGCATCCACAAATATGTTGAGATCAAGTTCTTCCGCTGATAAATCCTCTGTTAAATGTTCAGGTATCTCATGTAAATACCCCCAAGTTCCATGAAACATTCTGGTTTGAGCATCTACCCTTTTTTCGTGTACTCTTGCTTCAATATCAATGTTGTCAACACACCAAAAAGGTCGAATCTTGTAAGACTTTGAACCTATGTCCCTAATTTTTTTCTCAGTGGCCTTCTTCAGAGTATCCATAGCTGCTAAAGCTGTCTTTCTTGATGAAGTTAAGCCAAGTGAATGAAGGTAATCATTGACCTTTTGTGTTACCCCACACGCCAGAAACGTTATCGAATTTTGGAGCTGTAAGTTTAACCCGCAGTGTCGGCGATTGCAGGCAAAAGCAAGCATAGAACATAGAATTACAGGAAGCTAGAAGGTTTAAAAGGACCAGGAAATCAAATAAGTAGTATATAGGTACATTGAGAGTATTCAGTTGGTACGTACTTTCTTCATGCGATGCTCTTCCAATTGCTGATTTGTTTTTCCCATGGTTGTTGTAGACTCAAACAACTTAACACCCTTGGTATCGTCCACTGGGTTCACGGTGTTTTCTTCAGTTTCTTTGAGGCAAATCCCTTCTTCATCTAAATCCTGCTTCGTTTCTTTTCTCTTTGCCCTTTCCTTCTGTCGCATCTCTTGAGCATGCACAAGTTTGGCTGATACAAGTGAGTGTAAAAAAGGCATATGAATCTCAACTGAGCTATCTCGTCGTTTCTCTTCTTCTGGTGAAAAGAATTCATGTGTAACGTTCTTTGAGGTATGAAACATTCCATTCGGTGGGTCTCCACTGGGTAAGTTTTCTCTGATCACGATCTCCTTTGCCTAAATTTTCCAAAAAGAAAAGGTCAGTATGCATATGCTTCAAAACCCAATTAATGGACTTACCGCTTCTAAGATAAATGCAGACCATCTTTCATTTCCACTAACTCGATCTTTACAGATTAACGCCTTGAACCCGTACAAAAGTTCCCTCGTGGAAACCCAGCCCTTTTCTGTTCCCCAAGATCCACGTCTTGTCGCTATGTTTGAGTCGGTGCATGTTAACATCCCTTGAACAAACTTCTTAGAATCCAGTCCAAGCGAATTGAGGAGCTGGCAAGTGTCTTCGAGCCTCTGTGGTAACGGTGGATAGACTTTTGCGATTTTTCTTTTTAAAACGGACATTTTCAAGGTCGTTTTTGGCAAGGTCGCTCGGAGGCCCAACGGACTATGCTCTACAAACGCTGGCTTTTTGGTGTGTTTCAAGTCCCCCTTACTCTCTCTTGGTTTCTATTCATTTGTGTCCGTCTCAAACCTCAATCTCTCCACTGCCCTCGCTCTCTACACTTCCATAACTTGGCGAATTTGAAATTTCATTTCTGTATGTCTTGTGTAACAATCTCGCAGCAGAAGCATTTCGGTGAATATCTGGATGACCTTGTTTGCAGTGTTGAGAAAAAAAAAGAACAAATAAAGAAATCAAGAAAGTTGATAGACAGAAAGATAGAGAAGAAGCAGGCGCTTCAGGCTCCCTGTTTTTTTCCAAACAGTCAATACTGGGAAGTTTGGGATAAAGGAGATCCCAGATTTCCCCTACTAAATTGCTCAACAAACCACGCCAAATGACCGGGGTAAGGAGTAAGTCCCTCGTGCCTCGGTCATCGCTTGCTATGTACACCACGGCACAGCCTTTCGGTCAAAAAGAGGTCCGCGCGGGAGAATAAGGTCGCACTTAGGTCTAGCGACCTTGGCGGCCTTCTGACTCGTCGGCAGGCCGCCACTGGGCTGCCTAAGGGCTGGGTCTGGCCTCGCCTTCGTGCAAGGTCCTGTTTCCGCCTGCTTGTGGCCTTTAAAGGGTCCACCAGTGATCGCGTCTGCCGGTCAACAAGGACCGCGCCTCAAATGCAGGAGCGCGCCACGCGCAAACACGCAAAACACAAGGTGGTACCACTCACATCGCAAATCGATCACTTCCTTCCACGATGACATCAAACAACCAGCCACATCCATGTAAGTCATGACCTTATACTTACCTTGCTTTCACATCCAACACTAAATCAAAATGTCTTTATGCAGACATAAAGTATGATCCATCGCTCCCCGGCCTCAAGAAGTATCGATGCACTGTGTGCTCAGGTTCTAGAGGTATGCGAGAATACGAGCGACATGTTCTCTCACTGCCACATGCAGACGCGGTGGCACGCTACATTGCACAAGAGCAACAAGATGAGGCCGACCAAATTTTTTTTCAACAAGCAGAGTATTCAATCCCACCTATTGAACACTCTTCACCCCCAAGTCCAACACCAAACAATCCTGATGGTAACAAAGACACACCAGACCGGCGACCATCACCCCTCTCATTCCTGCGCAGCCTGGAGGATGGAGACCCTCTTGGGTTATACGATGACTCAGATCACTCAGACGACGGAATCGATTTTAATAGCCTTCGACTGGCGTTTGAAGCGCTTGAGGACAAACAGGAGGATGACGGGTCTGAACATGGTTCTAGTGAAGATGAAACTGTGGACAATGTGCATGATGAGCCTGGCGCATGGTATCCCTTTAAAAGAAAAGAAGTGAGTGTTGTTGCCCCCCTATTTCACGTTGAGGAAAAGTGTTGTGTCTAACCTACTTAATAGCATGTGGCCGGACTCCTCATCATTGGCAATCCCCGAAATCTTCTTTCGCGGGCCGACTACCATCGAATACGTGCAATTATGAAGATCTGCGACCTCAACCTTCCACACTGGAACTCATTGAGTGAAGTTGTGAAAAAAAATAAAAAAAAAATGGGCCTGGACATACAAGAACGAGTCAGCCCTGCCGGCACACCACTCTTTGGTTTGAATGTACAAACAATTATAACCAATGTGAGTCTTATCATACGATTACGTTGGGTCCAATACTCGAGGGTTCGTCTCTGACAACCTTAATGGTTTGTAGGAATTGGCAAACCCTCTAGTCAGTCCTCACTTGAATTTCATCCCAGATCTAGTCACAGAGGGCCCAATCAAGGAATTTTCCCACTCTCATAAATGGCGACAAGGTTTGGCACCCGACCTACGACCTCCAATGGTTGTCTCAAACAACACGCATTACTACATTTACGAACCAGTTCAACTGAGGACTCAGCAGCTCATTGTCCCCATATTTTTCTTTAAACAAGACGGCAAACTGATGGCTAAATGCTTGCCTGCAACGGTTGAACCGGATGCTGAAGTCGCACAAAGGCTCAAAATCTACTTTCCAAATGAGCCTGATTTCGAGTCAGACAATCTGTTCACAATAGATTGTGACGACTTCTGGAGATCTTTTACAGAGATTCAACTCGGTGAGGGATCTTTTTTGAAGGATATGGCTGGACATTACATGTATCGTAAGTCAACATCCTTTTGATTTCTTGGAAATGCAACCTGATGCGGTGCAATTTATATAACAGAAAGAAATGGCTCAACTTTAACAAAATATCCGCTTTTGAATAAATGGAGAACTAAAGCAGATGGGAAATTGGTCCGACATGTTCCTCTCATTCTCTACTCAGATGATACATCTGGTAATGTGTCAAAGAAGTGGAACAAGCACATGAGTGTATACTTCACTCTGGCTGGTTTACCCACTGATTTGTCAAATCAAGAGTTCAACATCCATTTCTTAGCTACTTCAAACTGTGCAGGTACTCTGGATCTACTGGACCACGTTGTGGATGATATAAAGTAAGATTCTCTCTCTTATTTTGTTTTGTAACCTCAAAAAATCCATATCGTCCGATTGTTTTTCTTAGTCAAATGGCCGAATCCGGGTTTGTAACATATGACCACACGTTGGGTGAAGAGGTACTAGCAGTCTCACTGGTACTCTGCTGCTTGGGAGACGGACCTCTTCATGCGGAAATTACAAACACCCTGAACCCGGCAAGTACAAATACACCATGTCGGATGTGTGATCTACAAGTCGATAAGAAAGTTGACAAAGAATCCAGTGGGTTTGTGCGTGACTTTTTGGGTATTGATGAAGATGGGCTACCTGTAAGTACTTCTTTTGGTTGAAGTGCGTCCCCCATGTAATTGAGCTAACGCCTGGTTTAAACTGGGTTAAGGGACATTTGCCTTTCCGCGATTGGGACGAAACCAGAAAAAGAACCGAATTGCTGTGGACAACAGCTCAACGTCGTAACACTAAAACATTGGTAGAAGAGTTGTCGCGCAAATACGGGGTCAGGGATACTCTCCTCGATTACTTTATTAAGGTGGTACAAAAGGCGCATGACACTCTACCAACGGCGGATGTCGAGGCTCTTTGCAATGAGCTTAATAGGGAGCATGGATATCACCTGTTCAACCCAATGCTGCGACTGAAAGGTGGGTCTCATTACGTTGTGACCATAGCCCTTATGTGCATGTGATTACGCAAACTGATATATGATGACTTGGCACTTACAGGCTTCAACGGTCATCTAGACACCCCTGTCGAAATTCTCCACGTAGTATTGTTGGGTATAACAAAGTATCTATTTCGTCACACTATGAAGGAGTTAGGTGCCAAGCCAGGATCTAAAATTTATAACGAATTGTCGGGCAAGTGGCGAGCTTTCAACAAAAAAGGATTGAACATACCACCGATTCAACCACATACTTTTATCAATTTCTATGCAAGCCTTGTAGGAAAGGAATTTCGCACGGTGTTACAGGCGGTTCCATTCGTACTTTTTGATCATCTGACACCAGAGAAGCGGGCAGTGTGGACAGCCCTTTGCTACTTAAGCTCTTACATTTTCCAAACCGAGATAACTGATATGGACCGGTATCTAGCGGAACTCGACATTATTATCAGTAGATTCTTACTACACCTTATCAACGGCACAGCGCAATGGGTCAACAAGCCCAAATTCCACATGCTCATCCACTTACAAGACTCCATTCGAAGATTTGGCCCAGCTTGCCTGTTTGCAACCAAAAAGTTTGAATCCTTTAATGGACAAACTCGTAATGCTTCAGTACACTCAAACCATCAAGCCCCAGGCCGAGACATTGCAAATAGATTCAACACCGAACAGATGTTGAGGATTCTGATGTCCGGTTCATCTTTTGTTGATAAAGATATAGACGAACGTGTGAAGCCTGGGTCTTCTTTGGTTGACTTATTTTTGAAAATACCAGAGTTGGCCCAATCTTTTGGCCTTTCTCTAACACCAGGAGGTGGTAAGGAGTTTGTCATGGGAGGTGAGTACCGGTGAGATATACACATATGTTGGTTTTTCATTAGTGTGCTCATATTGGCTTGCATCCAGGACTGGAGAAACGTGGACCAACTCCGTTATGTGTGCAGCAATCTGGTTCAGACTTTAACTGGCAATCTTTCACAAGTGTCACTTTGCACAACGGCCAAAAAGTCGAAGCTAAGGATTTCATTGTGGTGAGTCCACCCATGTTGCACTCATGAGCCCCGGTGGATAGCACAGCATGTACTGACTGGTTCGAACCTAGCTCAAAGCAAACAAGTCAATTGGACAAGTTGATTCGATATGGAAGCAGCAAGGTGTTGCTTCAAGTTCAAGCTAAGGTAGTGTTGAAAACTTGCACCAGAGGGCGTATCGTCCCTTATTATACAATGCGCGAGGTGGTGTTATCTGATGAAGTGGTATGCC